TTGGGCGTCTTCGGGGCCCCGTGGGACCGTCTTGGGCCCTCTCGGGACCCCCTATAGCCTGTCGTGGCCTGCTTCGGGGCGGGCGCGCGCCGCCTCGGGAGCTCTGGACCCCCCCCCGCAACCCCCGGTGGGCACCAATGGGGGGAACAGGCAGCGGCCCGCCCCCGCTGCCCCCCGGGCCTACTCCGAGATGGAGAATCATGTTCCCGGGAAGCTCTCCGGGAGCATGATTTATTCGGCTCTCTAAGAGGGGGGCCTCTGGGGCCTTACCGAGGGGCGCCTTTTGGCCTTGTCGGCAAGCCAATTGGAAACATGGTTGGGGCGGTGGGCGGAATCCCAAGGAATCATGTTCCCAGAAAGCTATCTGGGAAATACGATTTACCGAAGTGTCTTGGGGGCCCGCAGGGGGCTTCCCTGTGGGGTCTCTTGGGGGCCTATTTGGGCTTCCAGGGGCCTCTTGGGAGCCTCACGGGGCTTCTTGGGAGCCTCTTGATGGCCTCCGGGGGCGTCCTAGGAGCCTCTGAGGCCGAAGACCTTGAAATGTCGTGCTCTTCGGGCCCTCTTGGGTCGCTCTTGGGGCTCTCTTGGGGCGCTCTCGAGGCGCTCTTGGGCCGTCTCTGGGCTTTCTTGGGAGCCTCTTCGGCCGTCTTGGAGCGATCTGAAGGGCCTCTAACGGGGTCCGGGACCGTGGGGAGGCGGAACATGGGAGAGCGCAAGAATGCTTCAAAAACTATAGGAAAATATATAATCTTCGGCTTCTGGGGCCCTTTGGAGGGGCATCTGGAGGCGCTCTTGGGGCGTTTTGGCGGCGTCGTCGGCCGTCCTGAGGCCATCTTCGGCGTGTCCAGGGCCTCTGAGGGCTGTCTTTGGGCGTCCAGGGAACCCTGAAATCATGTTCCCAGAGAGGCTTCCGGGAACATGATTTCGAACGAGGCCCGATCTTGGGCCTCCCTGAGGCCGTCTTGGGGGCCTCCTGGGCAGGCTTTGGGGCCTCTTGGGCCGTCTTGGGAGGTTGCGTGAGCCCCACAAGACAACCCTCTTGGGGCCGTCTTGGGCCCTCTTGGGTCTCTCTTGGGCTGTCTGGGGCTCCTCGGGGGCGTCTGGGGCACTGCGAAGACGAAGCAAGGGAGTATGCTGAAAAGCTACGTTTTACTAAGGGAACGGGCTGATTTTCGCCTCTTGAAGGCCCCGCCATCTTCAAGCCATCTCAGGCCCTCTGGGGCCTCGCTGAGGCTGTTTTGTCGGCCTCTTGAGCGTCCTCGGAACCCAGAAATCATGCTCCCGGAGAGGCTTCCAGGAACATGATTTCGAACGAGGCCCTCTTGGGCCTCCCTGAGGCTGTCTTGGGGGCCTCCTGGGCCGGCTTCGGGGCCTCTTGGGCCGTCTTGGGGGGTTCCGTCAGCCCCACAGGACGACCCTTTTGGGCCGTCTTGGGCCCTCTTGGGTCTCTCTTGGGCTGTCTGGGGCTCCTCGGGCGCGTCTGGGGCACTGTGAAGACGAAGCAAGCGAGTATGCTGAAAATGTACGTTTTACATAAGGAATGGGCCGATGTTTCCCTCTTGAAGGCACTCTTGGGGCCCTCTTCGGGCATCTTCAAAACATCTCGGGCCCTCTGGGGCCTCGCTGAGGCTGTCTTACGGGCCTCTCGGGCGTCCTCGGAACCCAGAAATCATTCCCGGAGAGGCTTCCGGGAACATGATTTCGAACGAGGCCCTCTTGGGCCTCCCTGAGGCCGTCTTGGGGGCCTCCTGGGCCGGCTTCGGGGCCTCTCGGGTCGTCTTGGGGGGTTCCGTGAGCCCCACAGAACAAACCTCTTGGGGCCGTCTTGGGCCCTCTTGGGTCTCTCTTGGGCCGTCTTGGGGCTCCTCGGGGGCGTCTGGGCACTGTGAAGACGAAGCAAGCGAGTATGCTGAAAATGTACGCTTTACATTGGGAATGCACTGATTTGTGACTCTTGAAAGCTCTCTTGGGGCCCTCTTCGGCCATCTTCAGCCATCTCGGGCCCTCTGGGGCCTCGCTGAGGCTGTCTTGGGGGCCTCTTGGGCGTCCTCGGAACCCAGAAATCATGTTCCCAGAGAGGCTTCCGGGAACATGATTTCGAACGAGGCCCGATCTTGGGCCTCCTGGAGGCCGTCTTGGGGGCCTCCTGGGCAGGCTTTGGGGCCTCTTGGGCCGTCTTGGGAGGTTGCGTGAGCCCCACAAGACAACCCTTTTGGGCCGTCTTGGGCCCTCTTGGGTCTCTCTTGGGCTGTCTGGGGCTCCTCGGGGGCGTCTGGGGCACTGCGAAGACGAAGCAAGGGAGTATGCTGAAAAGCTACGTTTTACTAAGGGAACGGGCTGATTTTCGCCTCTTGAAGGCCCCGCCATCTTCAAGCCATCTCAGGCCCTCTGGGGCCTCGCTGAGGCTGTTTTGTCGGCCTCTTGAGCGTCCTCGGAACCCAGAAATCATGCTCCCGGAGAGGCTTCCGGGAACATGATTTCGAACGAGGCCCTCTTGGGCCTCCCTGAGGCTGTCTTGGGGGCCTCCTGGGCCGGCTTCGGGGCCTCTTGGGCCGTCTTGGGGGGTTCCGTCAGCCCCACAGGACGACCCTTTTGGGCCATCTTGGGCCCTCTTGGGTCTCTCTTGGGCTGTGTTGGGGCTCCTCGGGGGCGTCTGGGGCACTGTGATGACGATGCAAGCGAGTATGCTGAAAACGTACGTTTTACGAAGGGAATGGGCCGATGTGTGTCTCTTGAAGGCCCTCTTGGGGCCCTCGTCGGCCTTCTCAAAGCCATCTCGGGCCCTCTTGGGGCGCTCTTGGGCATCTTCGGGGCCTCTTGAGGCTTTCTTGACCATCTGTACGGTCCGCGTGGCCTGTCGCGGGCAATTTGGAAGCGGCCCGAGGCAGTCCCGGGGTCTGTGAGCCCCCAAAGGTCCCGAAGCGCGCCCATGGGGGATGGCGGCACCGGCGGGGCCCCAACCTCCAGCCTACTCCGAGATACATACATATATCTATATATATATATATACACAGATACATACATACATGTCTACATTCATATATGTATGTATCCAGGCTCGCATCTTGTATGTATATGTGTATGTGTGTATCGGTCACTCACGTTTCTCGGTGCACACAAGTATTTATACATTCATACATAGTCACTTACGTTTGCTTAGCACATCAAGATGTCTTTATTTGTTTCACCTATCTCTCTGTATATATATATAGATGTGTATATATATACGATGTTACATACATTCGTGTGAGCAAATGTATAAACACACGCACATGCGTAATTATGAGTACACTGCGTACAACATAAGCTGCGTACATCGATGGTTATATGACTGTGCCTGGCTACAAATGCAATTGATTAACAGGAACACTGCACGTATGTACATGTGCATGTGTAACTCTGCCACTATCTCTACCTATCCCTTTCTCTGTGCCTCCCTCCTTCTCAACGGCATACGTATACACAAATACATACACATATGCACGTACGTCTAAATTTAAATGTACATCTGCACTTATACTCTGATATCTATATATATATACATATATATAGACGTAGCTATACCTGTACATGTCTATAAATATGTATGCGTGCGCACACATACGTGCAATATGTACGCCTTGATCACTCTGAGCACAGATTTCAGGGTATCACTCTCTCTCTCACTCTGTGTGTCTCTCTCTCTCTCTGTCAAACCCTTTATCCTGTGTATTTGTCTGTCTCTCTTTTGTCTCTCTCCCTCCCTCTCCGTCTCTCTCCGTCTCTCTCTCTTACTCTGTCTCTATACATATGAATGAACAGGTGTGTATGTACATGTATGTATGTTCATATATATATACTAATCATTATCCTTCGGTCCCCCTCTCTCCCGGTTCCCCGACTCCCGAAAACATGCCCAAAATCATGCGTTCCTGTGTCCCCCAGTTAACGGATCCCGGGTCCCGGCTCGGCTCCTGGTTGCAGGCTCCCGGTTCCCAGTTCCCAGTCCATGGTTCCCGATTCTGCTCCCGGCCCCCACTTCCTGGTTCCTGGCTGGCTCCCCGCTCCCAGCTACAAGTCCCCAATTTCCGATACCAAATCCCGGGGTTCCTCCCCATTCTCGGCTCCCGGTTCCCAACCCCCGGTTCCTAAATCCTGGTTCCCGGTTCCTGGCTCCCGCCTCCCAGTTCCATGGGTCCCGCGGTTCCCAGCTCCCGGTGCCCGGTTCCCGATTCAACCCGTTTCCATGGGCTCCCGATTCCCACTTCCCAGCTCCAGGTTCAGTTCCGGTTCCCGGCTCCTGGCTCCCCGGGCTCCTAAATCCCGGTTCCTATAGTTCCTGGCTCCCGGCTCCCACTTCCATGGTTCCCGCGGTTCCCACTTCCCGGTTCCGGGTTCCCCATTCAACCCGTTTCCAGGCTCCCGGTTCCCTGTTCCCCGCTCTGCAGGTTCCCAAGTTCCGGTTCCTGGTTCCCGGTTCTCCGTTCCCGCTTCCCGGTTTTCGGCTCCCCAGTTCCCTTCCCGTTCACGGTTCCGGGCTCCCGGTTCCGAGGAAGGATGAGGAGCACGCAAGCAGGAATAGAAGGATAGGGAGGAGGAGGAGAAGGAGGAGGAGGAGGAGAAGGAGAAGGAGGGAAGAAGAGGACGACGGAGGAAACAGAGGAAGGAGGAAAAGGAAAAACAACAGAGAAAGGAGAGGATGGAGGAGGGGGGAGCAGGAGAAACGAGGACGAGGAACATAGGAGGAGCAGGAGGAGGAGGAAGGTGATGGAGGGAGGGGATGAGTGAAGAGGAAAAGAAAGAAGATGAGGATGAGAAGGAGGGGGAGGGGGAGGAGGAGGAGAAGGAGGAGGAGGAGGAGGAGGAGAAGGAGAAGGAGGAAGATGCGAAGGAACGGGGGAAGAAGCAGACCATGGCGACCGGGGAGAAAAGCGAGGAGGGAAACGGAGGAAATCTTGTGAGGAAAAGGGGGGACGATCGCATGGAACGATGAGGAATGATGACGTAAAAGGAGGGTGGTCCGCCATGCCCAGCGCCAGCGCCGCCAGCGAAGCGCCTGGGCTGACGTGGGGCCCCCCCGCCAGCCAGTCCTCGCGGGAAGCCGGGGTGCCGTCAACCGTCCTCTTCGATTTTATCCCCTCTCAGCCCTCCTCCATTTGCTCCCCCCTCTCGTCCTCCCCCCGGTCCCTGCAAAACTGGCTGAATGATCTGGTCTAAGAGTTCACTCAGAAGGCAGCGAGAATATAAACGACATGTGCCGAAGATGCTGCCATTCGGCGGTTACAAGCACCTTCAGCCAAATAGGCACCGTGTGCACACATGGAAGGCGATATGCAAGCATCCCCCCCGCCCACCATTGACCGAGACAGTCATGCATGCGCTGTGAATGCAATTTGAACGCGTCGCTTGGAGCTCACCCCAGCAAGTAAACAGTTTGCCTTAAACAGGCGCGACTAACATATCGCATGAAACATGCGAGGAGGTTGCTATGCCAGGGTATACCAACCGTCCGACCGCATCGCGCAAAAGGTGACCGAACTGACGGCGGGATATCCGGGCTGTTTTTTGTTGGCCGCAGCGGGTGTGCACAAACCCTTCGTATGGTTATGCGAGTTGCGGAATTAGGGGAAGTGGAAAACAGACGCAAATAGTCGTGAGAGGGTCCCTTACGAATTGCGTCGGTGGTGCATTGCCCTCGGCCTGGCCCTCTTCGCGGCTCCTGTGTTGCGATTGTTACGGGCTCTGTCTCTCATGACGCGCTGGTGCTCAGGGCTCCTCTCCTTCACTGTCAGAACTACCCAAGGAACCCTTGACGGCGGCATGCGGGTGATGGCGGTCGTCGCACTTTTTGACCGCGAAAGACTTACAGCCGTGGTAACGGCCTGTTGCCCTCCAGAAGGGGTGCAGCCAGGATGGAAGAGCGATGGAACCACGCCCCCGTTCTGCGCTTCGCGCCTCCGATCGCAGTCCACGCCAGTGTAGGGATCAAACGCCCAATCCTGGTCGACAGCCCGCGCAGGTCGCAGTCTTCGGAGGGTAGGTGACGCTGCCTGGGAACTTTCCCTTCAGACTGCCCCCCGCGGTAGCCCTCCCCGCGGCGGATCCGATCCCCGCTGCCCTGGGAGTGAATGCTGTCCCGTTCCCAGAGCTGGGCCTTCACTTTGGTCTAATGCCAGATGATGCCAGGTTTCGCAGCCAAGTCTCTGTCGTGTCCGATTGGCATCCGGGGGTTAGTGTCGATATTCTCGCAGCGCTTAACCAGCCCATTAATCGCGCTTGCAAATTCTCTCGAAAGTTCCTGAGTTAAGAACCGGAGCGCTCACGTTCCTGTCACGATGCCCCCGCGGCCATCATGAGCGGCGGCGGCGCTGCAGAGGCATTTTATTACTACGCCGTTACAAAAGTTCGCCACGTTTCATGAGAGCTTGAAGGTGGCATGGGTTTCGTGTGTTCCTTCCGCGTGAGCAAGCGGGCAGAGGCTGACCACTGCCCTGGCCGCGCCGAGCTGGCCCCCCCTTCCCCCCTAGAATCCTAGCGGACTGAGTCAAGAGCGGTCGGATCAAAGATCCGGGATTTCTAAAAGTGGGATTTCATCCCTTACTATAATAGTATAGATTTAAAACGGGACATTTTGAAATCCCGACGTAAATTCACACGGTTCTAGAAATCCCACCGGGGCGGGATTTGTCTTTGCTTATGCAAGATGATCGACTTTTATTTTATGACGAAGCTTTTGTAACGCCGATGTACTATGATCGTCGGTTTACCCTGCCAAAGCGTGCCGAACCAGGATGAGGGCGCGTTAACGCATCCGATCTCAATGAAATCGGGCACGTTCTCGACGCAAGCCTGCGCGTTCCCGTTAATGCTCCAATCCCAGGTGCCCCCAAGGATTTTGACATTTGCTTCTTTTCGGCCTTCCGACGACCCGAGACGGCCCAAGAGCCAACAAAGATCACCCAAAGATCGCCCAAGAGGCATCCAAGATGGCCCCAGAACGGCCCAAGAGACCCCCAAGACGGCCCCAAGAGGCCCCCAAGACGGCCCAGGAGGCTTTTAAGACGCCCAAGGTGGCCTCCAAGACGGCCCTGGAGCATTCCAAGAGGGCCCCAAGTCGGCCCAGAGAGGCCCCCCAAGCGGCTTCCGACGGCGTCGGACGGGCCAGGAGCCCACCAAGACGGCCGAAGATGGTCCTAAGCTGGCCCAAGACGGCCCAAGAGGCCTCCAAGAGGGCCTCCAGGAAGGCCCGAAAAGGCCAAAATCATTGATTTCCCATGAGTTGTTGAAGGATTGTGGAATTTGATGTGTTTCGGCCTTCCGACTGCCCGAGACTGCCCAAGTGCCCCCAAAGATCGCCCAAGAGGCCCCCAAGACGGCCCAAGACGCTCAAGATGGCCTCCAAGACGGCCCAAGAGCCCTCCAAGACGTCCTCCAAGAAGGCCCGAAAGAGTCAAAATGGCCTCCAGACGGCCAAGATGACCTTCAAGATGCCCACGTGTTCCCCGAAGGCTTTCCAAACCGATTCGGGGAGCACATGGTCCGATAGCTTGGCAGGTCTGGCCTCAACGTTCGGCCGCATAGGCGCTTCCAAAAATGCAGGGGGCGGCGGTGATTCGCCGTAGGCGTCTTCGATAACGCCAACGTTTCAATATGCGCTGATGACTCCTATCCGCCCCCGTATGCTGTTCCCAGATGCGCCAAGGCAACGCCGAGACGCACCGACGCGACTCTGTTATATCCTATCCCATTGTGATAGAGAGGGGGCCAGCGGCAGGGGGCGAAGCCCTTACGGATAAGGACGCAGAATACAGGATGCAAGGGCCTTGGAAGGCCATGTCGACGCTGTGCGAGCGGGGCGCGGCCAGCGAAAGCGGCCAAGGATGGGCACGGATGGGCCGAGGGGGAAGGACGCAAGGGTGACCTCAGAAAGTTGATCATCCTTACTGTGCGGGTTAATCATCCCTAATCGAATCTCTTCGGAGCCGCTGCTTCGTCACGGGCCGCCTCCTGCCCGCCGCGGGGTGCCCGAGAGGCCGCCGGGTCCTCCTCTGCTCTTCCCCCCGGGGCGCCCGAATGTCTTGGGGGGCCGTGCTCCGTCTCCCAAGCGGTTGCTTACTCCCTCCCCGCCACTCCTCCTCCGTCTCCCTCGCATCCTTCTCCTCCTGCTCCTTCAGCACTGTCCGCATGTTCCCTCTTCCCCTCCCCCCCCACATGAGCCTCCTCCTCCTCCTCCTCCTCCTCCTCCTCCTCCTCCTCCTCCTGTCCCCTCCTTCTTCCTTCTCCGCATCTCACTCCTTCGGATCCTCTTCCTCCGCCTTCTCATCCTGGCAGGAGAGGGAGGGGGGCGTCTCACCTCTCTGGGGCGGTGCCTAGGGGGGGGGGCTTTGTGTGGCGCCCCTACCAGTCCGCCGCGATGCAGCCCGCGACGTGCCACAACCACTCCTGGGCATCCATGCCATTCCATCCGCCTCGTCCTTCCTCCCCGTCCTCCTCGTCGCCCTTTCGACATCCTCCTCCTCCTCTTCCTCCTCCTCCTCTTCCTCCTCCTCCTCTTCCTCCTCCTCCTCCTCCTCCTTCTCCGCCTCCTCCTCCACCACCACCTGCACCTTATCATGTCCCTGTCTCCCCCGCCTCCCTGCTCCCTGCTCCCGAAACTTCCCCTCCTCCCCTCCCTCTTCCTTCCTCCCTTCGGCATCCACGGCGCCCTTCCGTCCTCCCTTCGGCAACTCCTCCAACTCCTCCTCCTCCTCCTCCTCCTCCTCCTCCTCCTCCTCCTCCTCCTCCTCTCCTCCTCCTCTTCCTCCTCCTCCTCCTCCTCCTCCTCCTCCTCCTCCGCATCCTCCTCCTCCTCCTCCGCATCCTCCTCCTCCTCCTCCACAGCTACGGTGCCGCTTCCTGCTTCCGGGGGGGCCTCCAGGGGCCCGAGGAAAGGGGGGCCACGCTGGAACAGAGGCGGACCCGAGAGGCGGGGGCCTCCGATGCCGAGGGCGGAGGAACAGCAGTGAGGGCATTGGAAAAGGAACCCCTGGATGCGGCCATGACAAAAGAGCATCCCTCAACTACAGATTGGGAAAGCAGAAAATCCACCCTCATAATCCGCCGGCCCCCTTGTGGGGCCACCAGGCTATAGGCCGAAGGTTCGCAGTTTCCTGTACCAGTTGCAGTTTCCAGTTTCCACTGTTACAGTTTGCTTCTTGCTGCTGACTGTTCCTTATTGATGGACCGCGCGAGGGGGGGAGGCCCAAAACGGACATTTTTACCACGCCCTGAGCGTGTTGTCTGAATTGCTGGGGCGGGTTAAAATTTACACACCTCACGCAGATCGGCGGGGTCAGGGTCTAAAAACACAGAGCATTTGCCACATTTCTGAAATTCGCTGGCACCCCTCACGCAGATCGGCGGGGTCAGGGTCCAAAAACACACGGGATCCGTCACATTTCTAAAATTCGGTGGCACCCCTCACGCAGATCGGCGGGGTCAGGGTGCAAAAGAACAAAGGATTTGCCACATTTCTGAAATTCGCTGGCACCCCTCACGCAGATCGGCGGGGTCAGGGTCCAAAAACAAAAGGGATTTGCCACATGTCTGAAATTCGCTGGCACCCCTCACGCAGATCGGCAGGAAAAGGGTCCCAAAACACATCGAATTTGCTACATTTCTAAAAATTCGGCGGCACCCCTCACGCAGATCGGCAAGGTCAGGGTCCAAAAACAATAGTGATTTGCCACATTTCTGAAATTCGGTGGCACCCCTCACGCAGATCCGTAGGGTCAGGGTCCAAAAACACAGGGGATTTGCTACATTTCTGAAATTCGGCGGCACCCTTCATGCAGATCCGTAGGGTCAGGGTCGAAACACAAACAGATCCCGACACTGCTTCACGGCGGCGCCCAGACCTCATGATTTAGCTCTTGCATTTCCCATTATCCGAGACAAGGGGCTGGCGGCATGGGGCGAAGCCCTTACGGATAAAACGCCCCGACTCACGAAACCGTCTAGTAAACGCACCCAAAGAAGAAATCGAACAGGGCAGAGCTGTTAGTAAACGCTCAGGGCCGCAAACACCAATTATCGAGTCCGGGTGGTTTCTCCTCCCTTGAACAGCAGGAAGCGACTACTGGGAGGTCTTCGTCGGAAGAATTAAAAAAAAAAAAAAAAAAAAAAAAAAAAAAAAAAAAAAAAAAAAAGCCCCATTGGGCAACTGATACGCCGGATTAGGTCGCGGATCAAGCGGGATTAAGCCGGGTTGATCGGGATTAAGCTGGACTAAGCGGGCTTGGTTGATCGGGATTAAGCTGGACTAAGCGGGCTTAGGACAAGGTCAAAATTTGACCTCCCGCCGGCCGAACCATAAGATCACTCGAGGGTACCCTCCCCCAGGATGCACATGAACATCCCAACAAGCACGAAGAGCATCAGGGCGTCCAAGGGTACCTTCCCCAGAATGCACAATAACATTTAACAAGAACGAAAAACATCAGGGTACACTCCCCGAACCGACCTCGATCCTATACCTCGGTCCGACAGTAAGGAATCCAAGGTCTGGAAGCCGGTGGACACCAATTGAGGCTTGGCCATGGACAGCACCGCCTCCCTCATCAGATAGGGGATCCTCTGGGGTCTAAAACCTCCAGGCATATTCCTTAACGAACGCCCCCACTGTAACAGACATGGCATAAGCATAAACTTTGGTGTCTAGCACCGACCCGAGAAATCCACGCGGACTTCCGCCAGCTTATGCTTCTGCAGTTGCTCATTCTTCAAGGAACAGCTCCTGCCACCATGCCGCGACCCCGATCCAGACGCCCGGGGTGTAGGTCAGCAACACGACGATCGGCTACACGCAAGAATGGCCATAAGCAAGAAAGAACTCCAGTGCGCGGCTTGCCGACAATTACATGCGTTGCGACGCAAGCGGCCTGCTTTCTAGGGAATATCTCCGCATCCGCGTCACTCTCCTTCTCGCCCTCGCCCTCACCCCTTCCACTACCCCTACCTTCCCCTCTTCCATCTTCTCCTCCATCTTCTCCTCCATCTTCTCTTCCATCTTCTCCTCCTCCTCCTCCTCCTCCTCCTCCCCCTCCTCCTCACCCTCCTCCTCTCTTCCATCCGCTCCTCCTCCTCCTCCTCTTTTTGCCTTCGCGGGCCGCCGCGCAGCGACTAGCCGGTCGGAGCCTCCCTCCTCCTCCTCCTCCTCCTCCTCCTCCTCCTCCTCCTCCTCCTCCTCCTCCTCGTCGTCGTCGTCGGCCTCCTCCTCCTCCTCCTCCTCCTCCTCCTCCTCCTCCTCTTCTTCATCCTGATCCTCCTCCTCCTCTTCATGCTCCTCCTCCTCATCGGCCTCCTCCTCTTCCTGCACCTCTGTGGTTGACCCAAAACGGGGTCCAGCGGAAAGGGGGTGGTGCAATGCATTTGGTGCAATAGATTTGTGCGGTTGCAATAGATTTAAGACGTGCAACACATTCCAGTGCGCAGATGTATTGCTGGGTTTTCGCGTGCAGTGCAATCAGCGCAATACACTGCAATCGAAGTCTCTGGCGCAGTACATGTACCATACATTTGCCCAAATCTATTGCACCGCCCCCTTTCAGCTGGACCCCCTCTTGGGTCAACCAATACCTCCTCATCTCACCCCTCTTTATGCCCCTCCTCCTCCTCGTTTGCCTCCTCCTCCTCCTCCTCCTCCTCCTCCTCATCATCATCATCATCATCATCATCATCATCATCATCATCATCATCATCATCATCATCATCACCACCACCATCATCATCATCATCATCATCATCATCACCATCATCATCATCATCATCATCATCCTCATCATCATCATCATCATCATAATCCTCCTCCTTTCTATATATCCGTTACGTCCGCATCGCGTTTCGCACGCGGCATCTCGACGCCAAGAGTTGCGAGGATGTCTCAGGCGAAAGGCGCCAGTCCACGTCGCGCGACGAATCTTGTAGTCCAGAGTTGCCAGGCGTCCAGACCCTCCCAGAGCACAATTCGACAACATAAGTGTTATCAAATGGGTTGTTTGGGTATGACCCCTTCTCCCTCCTGCCTCCTCTCTCTCCGAGAATGTCTCAGACGAAACGGGCTGGACCGCCTCGGGCGCGGCATCTGAGAGATCAGAGTTGCGATGATGTCTGAAGCGAAGCAGGCCAGAACTTCTCAGAGCCCAGGGTCGCGACGATGTCTCAAGCGAAGCGGGCTGAACCACGTCGCGCGCGGCATCTTGCAGCCCAGAGTTGCGAGGATGTCTCAGGCGAAACGGGCTGGACCAGACCAACTCTCGCGCTGCAACTCGGAGCCTAAGGTTGCGAGGATGTCTTACGCAAAACGCGCCATTCCACCTCGCGCGCGGCATCTCGGAGCCCAGAGCTGCGAAAATGTCTCAGGCGGCATGCGCCAGGCCACTTCGCGCGCGGCATTTCCGAGCTCGGAGCTGCGAAGATCTCTCCAAGCAAGACGGGCCAAACCACCTCTGGCACGGCATCTCGGAGCCTGCAACCGTGAAGACGTCTCAGGCGAAACGCGCCAAAGCACCTCGCGTGCGGCATCTCGGAACGCAGAGTTGCAATGATAACTATCTCAGGCGAAACGGACTGGACCACGTCGCGCGCGGCATCTCGGAGCTCAGAGTTGCGAAGATGTCTCAGGCGAAATTTGCCAGACAACCTCGCGCGCGGCATCTCGGAGCCCAGAGTTGCGAAGATGTCTCAGGTGAAACGCGCAAGATCACATCTCGCGCGGCATCTCGGATCCCAGAATGAAGAATTGCAAGGATATCTCAGGCGAAACGGGCTGGACCAACAGGCGCGGCACCTCGGAGCCCAGAGTTGCGATGACGTCTCCGGCAAAACGCCCAGTCTGGGTCAAAAAACCTGGCCAACTCGGAAGCGAGAGTGGTGAGGACGCCTCGAGCGAAACGGCCGGGACCACAACATCTGTGTGAGGACGTCTCGCTGCGGGGGTGCCTCGGGCATAGCTGGCTCCTGCCACAACCGGACCCGACGCTGCTCCGCTGTCTGGGGAGAAGCTGGCAGGAGCACGAGCCGTCGGAGATCCGAGCGGATTCTTCTAGGAGCCGCGCGGGCCGCTCCATGCCTGGCGCCCGAGGCGCGCCAGCAGCGGCGCCAGTGGCGCCATCAGGGAAGGTCTGGCATTAAGTCGGGCGTGTCCCCCTACAGGGGGACTTTCGAAGAAAAATAAGACATACCCCAAAAATACCCCAAAAAGGTCAAGCAATATTCGAAAAATAATCCCCAGACTATCTTTGGATGATTTTTTGATTATTGTGGAAGTATTTTTATTTTTCGTCGAAAATCCCCCTGTGGGGGGACAGGCCCAACTTAAGTCTAGCACCGACCCGAGAAATCCGCGCAGACCTCCGACAGTCTATGCTCATGCCAGTGTTCACCCCGTGGCGCGCTCTGCGCGCCAGGGAGAAGGGGGGTCCGGCGCCGATCCAAGACATCTGCCCGGACCTCTGAGGGGTTTTGATTGGTTATTGCCGCTTTGGAGGGGAGGACGGGGCAAACAGGTAGCGATACTGCCATTCCATGGACCTCTTCCGGGGTGCGTTCTGACCAGAAGTTGACAGAAAATTCTAGCCGTTCTGACGAGGGCTCTCCAGGACAAGCCGCGGTATCGGTATCTCCTCCTCCTCCTCCTCCTCCTTCCTCCTCCTCCTCCTTCCTCCTCCTCCTCCTCCCTGGCTTTCGGGTCATAACTCAAGTCTCCGGCGGCCGTTCGGGACGATCTGGGCACCCCTGGAACGCTCTCGCGGCGAGGCGCAGCTGCTGCAACGCACCCCGAGACTCGAAGACTGCCGAGAACAGACGAAGACGTCCGAAAAACTCGAACCTCGAGCAACTTTGTTCCTCTTCGATTGAGGGGCGACTCTTTTGTGTCGGCCCTGGTCTTGCAGACGAGCTGATGTGAGAAAGTCACGATGACGTCTGCAAACGAAACACCCCAAAACGGCGAGCCGAAAACGCAATACGTTTCACGCGGACGTTCCGAAGTCCCATTTCCCAGTTAAAAAAGAATCACAAGAGATTCGACAAAAGGGGCCTGCCATTGCTTCCACGATCGGAATCGGCTGTGCGAAGTCGGCGCCATGTCTCTTGCGCGCGGCCGAGATGAGCAAGTTCCCCACGAGTTCTCGCAGGAAGTGGTCGCGGGCGCGCCCGAGCGGGGCCGCGGCGGCGCAGAGCACGAGGGCCGCGAGGATCGGGCCGGAGAGGAGGAAGGCCTGGCTGGGGGGGCGCCGTGAGGCAGCACGGCAGCGAGCGACCGAACGTTCGCGGCGAGCCCACCAGAGGCTGCTCCGCACTGGCGGCCCGCTCGCGCGCCCGCGCCCAGGAAGGAGGGCGCCGCGCGATGCCCCTAAACCGGTGTTGACCGAGCAGCCCTGGGCGCCTGCGAAGCGCGGCGGCACGCCCAGAGGGGGCATGCCTGCAGGGCGCGGGGGGGGCTCCTCGGGAGGCTCTCCGCAGGCCTCCCGCCTTCTGCTTGAAGCGCTCGAGGCTCCCGCGCCTCCCTCCGAGGACGCCGACGGCTGCTCAGAGGGCGCGGACGGCCTCCGAGGAGCCCCGCCGCCTTGCGAGGAGGCCCGCGCCCTCTCTCTCCCCCCGGGGCGCGCCGCCGAGGACGACGAGCGAACGGAAGGCAGGAGAGCGCCGCAGGTGCAGGAGGGCGCCGGTCGAACGAGCGAACGGCCACTTCTGCGGACAAGCGTCCGGGCCTGACCAAGCCCCGTTCGGCCGCCTGGAAGCCTCGCCAGGCCCAGAAACGTCAACACACACAAACCAGGAGGGAAAAGCCATTCCCGGGGGTCGCCGCTGCGAGCACAGCTTCCGTGGTCAAGCAGTGACACCCTTGCGGCATAAGATGTACCCTGAACTCCACGGCGATCGAGAGGGGGAAATGATGAGGGGCGGCCTTCTCAGAAGGCTCAAAAGTCCGCGGGCCTCCTGAGAAATGTTTGGAGCCTTCTCCGAATACAGAATGCAGAAAACGTCCTCAAAGGCACGAGGGCTTCTGAGAAGCCCCGCGGCCTTCTGAGGAGGCGTTCTCCTTCTCACTTCCCCGCCTCGCTCGCCGTCAACCAGTGACCAAGCGGCGACACCCTTGCGGCATAAGGTTTCCCCTGACCAGCTTTGCGCAGATACGCGGCTGTGGGGCCACGCTCGGGGGGCCACGATGGGCCACATTTCGGGGGCCTGGGCTCACTCACCAGGCTTTGAAAAGCATCAGGCGTGTAACGTTACAGATGAGCCGATCAGAGGGAAAACATGCGCTGGAACCGCCAGACACTCAAACAGACGAATCGGAGTGAAGGATGACGGTTCAGAGAATGGCTCGACGCAGCAATCCCCATACTTGCACCTTGGTGCCAGGCGCTTCCGTCTGCGAGTCTGGGTATGGCGACAGCGATCCCTGGCGGTGAGGGGTCGGGGGTGCCTGAACAGGTGTTTCGTCTGACTCGCTTGGGACATCCTTACGATCTGCTTTGAAGACAGAGGGGTCCCGGCCAGAGAGCGGGGGTACCGCCTGAGACACACGAACAGTCTGGCCGCGAACGGGAGAGCGTCCCCCTCCCTGACGACGACGCCCACGAGCTGGCTTGGAGCAAATGTTCGCCCAGGGCGCTGCGGTGTGACGCCCCCTGGGCATGTCTTCCATCGTATGTCTTCCATCTTACGTAATCTATTCACCGGCGAAGGTCCTTGCTGGGCACATCCCGGTCCAGGATCTAGAATGAGCGGAAACGTTACACATGTTAGCCAGCGTGGACCCCAGACAGCGAATCATGACACCGTGGAGGTGGAAGCTACGAGGAGCAAACTGTGTCGTATAAGCTGTGCTGTGCAAGCGTTATGTGGCGAGAGCTCCACGATGCAAGCTGCATTGTGTAAGCTGTGTGGTGCGAGCTCTGCTGCGTAAAAGTAGAGAGCAGAAAATCCACCCCAATAATAAGCACCCCGACAAGCGAAGCCGTTTAGTAAACGCACCCATGGAAGGAATCGAACAGGGCAGGGCTGTTTAGCAAACGCCCAGGGCTGTTTGGTAAACGCGAATAGTCGGGGTCGGGGTGGTTTTTCCACCCTTGAAAAATACGGGGCGCGTGGCTTCTGTGTGGTGTGAGCTGTGCGACGCCATCTGTGCGGCGTGAGCTGTGCCGCGAGCGCTGTGCTACACCACATGGGGCACGGGGCGCCCACGAGCGCCCACGGGGCGCCCGCGGGCGCGAACGTGGCAGCACCCCGGCGGGCCCGCCCAGGGCGCCCAGGGCGCCCGCGCGGCGCCCGCCGAGGGCGGCGGCGGCGAGGGCGCGAACGCGCAACGAAACCTCGGCGGACCTGCCCAGAGGGCACGCGGCGCCGGCGCCCGCGAGCGGTCCGCGGGGCGGCACGGGGCGCGAGCGCGGAGGAGCCTCGGCGGAGCCTCCCGGCGTTAACTGCTGCACGGAGAGCGTGCGAGACGCCCCGCAGGGCAGGCACGGCGCGGGGAGCGTGCACCTCCGGGGGTCTGCGCGGATCTCGCGGGCCGACGCTGGATCCCCCTGGCGTCGCCTCGAGCGCCGCCCCCCGGGCGCGCTGCGGGCGCCATGTATGCTGTGCCCCAGCGCCGGCCTCCACCCCGCGCCGGAATTCCTCTAGCTCATCGATGCCGAAGAGCTCTACGAGGTACTTCCGTCGAGATTTTTCGGGCCAGCTAGCCCCCCAGCGCGCCGGACTTACGTTCTAGCTTCGCCGCTTCGCTCTTGGGGAAGCTGTACGAGAACCCTGTTCCTTCTGAGAGATCGGTGCGCATCGACGGGACACGGTCACAGGAGCGCGGACCAAGAGCACGAGCCCCCTCGCCGAGGGACCAGGGCCCGAGGAAGAGACCCAAGGCGAGCAGGGCACTGCAGGGCGCAAGGCCCAAAGCACGAAGAGACACGCGGGTACCCCTCCAAAGCTCGGGCTGCTCGTGGCCCACGCGCCCGCTGTGCGCCCTCCTGTCCTTGCCGGGAACGCATACGGTAGGCACATACTATGAGACAGCGTGCTACGTCACAAGAACTTGGGGCACATTATATCCGCCGATCGCTGCGAGTTCTGAGATGGCCCAGACCTCCTGTGGGTCATTGGCGATGATAAAGAGATAGCCGTGGGGCACCTGCTGGCTGGCTGAGATCTTATCCGACACACGATGCAGCGCAAGCCAGTCCCTCCAAAGACTGGACTGGCCATGGCGAGCGTGAGGTTGTGCAGCTGGCGCTCCCCGAGCCTGACAGTCCGCAGCCGCGTGCAGCGCGGCCTCCAGCGCGCTGAGCCCTCCGGCGCCCGCGCCGCCGGCGCCGGCGGCCGCCATATGGCGGCCTCGGCCGCCGCGCCCGTGGCTCCGCGGCACGGCCAGAGCGGCTGCCGAGAGGGTGTCCACGCTGGTGGCTTGAAGTCCTCGGCCGCCAGTGTTCGCTGCGCTGTCGACCATGGGCACACCGCTGCAGTATTGACCTGGGGCGGCCTTCGGCGGCCTTCCAGCTGTCTTTGGCGGTCTTCTGGCGGTCTTCGACGTCTTTGGCGGTCTTCTGTTGGTCTTTGGCGGTGTTTCCGGCGGTCCTCGTCGGCTTCAGGCGGTCCTTGGCGCGACAGCTGGGCCGTTGCGTTCAACAGGGGGTCCATGATCGAACGCCTGATGTCATGAGCAACTGAGGAGTGCAAGCGAGCAGGCGAGCGAGCGCGCACCGTCGGTCCGGCCCCACGAGGGCAGCGCGGGCGGGCCGGGGCCCCGAGATGGGTAAGGCCGCGGCGCTGGCGAAATTCATGTCGAATGGTGTAACAGGGGATGCGTCGACCCCTATCCCAGGCTCTGTGAGGTTTTCGAGAGGATCAACAATTTGGGGCCCAACCCTGGGATATACGAGGGGGGGCGCGTCCATCCTCGACAGGGGTGCGTCCGAATAGCCCCCTCGGGATGTATCCCAAGATTCCTCCCCTTTTCTGAACGACCAAACTTTTCTGGCGGAAGTCGGGGATTGGGGGAGAGAAATCGCCTGCGATGGTGGAAGCGGGAGCCGGATAGATGCAAGCTGGAGTAGGATGGGAGACGGAATAGGAGCCAGGCAGCTGGGCTTCCAAGCTTTGGGCTTCATGGGCCCGCGCACCGGGACGATGGAAAAGCGCCGCCCCCGGCGAGATATCTCCGCCGCCGTGGCGGAGAGGTGCCGGGGGTGGAGAGGTCGCCTCGCCGCGGCCGAGATCTCTCCGCGACGGCTGGAGGGGGGGGGGGGGCTGCAGGCGGTGAAACCAGAGCCGAAAACTGTGAGAGATCTCTTTTACAAGGAAGAGAACCGTTTTGCACTCGCGGCGGTAACTGGCGTTGAGGGGGGGGAGGGGCTGGGAGGGGGCACAACGTAAAAGCCCCCCCCGCCCCTCTTCTGTGACAGACTGTGGAGCCGGACGCGCTGCGGCGGTGCCAGGGGCGCACGGGGGGTGGGCACAGCGCGCCTTATGGCCCGGAGGGTAAAGAAACACTCTCCAACGTAGCTGCCCCGATACGCAACACGCAACCCGTAGCCTGTCGACACGCAGCTCAACACGTAGGCTGAAAACGCAAGTCCAGCGCGACAAGTTCGCCAAGACGTGGACCAACGCGCTGAGCCAACACGCAGTCTATCGACACGGACGTTCTGCACACGGCACGTGTTGCGTCTCAAGACGTGCGCAACGAGGCAGCCGAGCTCTCCAAAGCACAGGCAAATGACGACACATGTGCTGTCCGAGAGGCAGGCCGCCAAAGGGCGAGCGGGCGGCCGCCGAGGCCGAGGGCGTCGGGCGCGCGCCTCCCCTCGCCGCGCCGCCCTCGCCCGAGGCACGGCAGCCAGGCGGGGGGGGGCGGCCGACGCAGCCCCACGCGCCCCCCCGGAGGAGGAGGCCAGGGGCCAGCGCCGTCGATGGACGGCCCGGCACTCGCTGCAGAGCCGTGGCCGTCGAGGCTCGGGGATCGAGATTTGGAGACCGCGGCGTCGGAGAAACTCTCGATTGAGTGGGCCGTGTGGGGATCTCCAGGGCTGCCCCGTGAGTGTCCGGCCCCCGTCGAGGCCCGGTTCAGTGCTGCCACCACCGTGAAGGGCATTCTGGCCAGAAGACGGCCGATGTAGCTCCTGCGGCAGGCGCGGAGCCTTCGATCAACAATGAGCCTGCCGGCCTCGTGCAAATAACGCCGTGCTATGCGCAGGAGGGGGGCGAACTGGGCCAGCAACATCCCCCCCCACACACACACATTCAAAGACACAGACACAGGCACAGGCACAGGCACAGGCACCGGCACAGGCACAGACACAGGCACAGGCACAGGCACAGGCACCGGCACAGGCACAGGCACAGACACACACACACACACACAGAGACACACACACACACACATACACACGCACACCCACACGCACACCCACCCACACACACACACACTTCTACTTTGTCGCGGGCGCGCGCGGCGCCGCGCCGTCCAGCCCGCGGAGGACCGCGCGCGCGTGCCAAGTCGTCAGAGGGGACAAAGAGAGGCGCAGGGGCCGTGGGGCAGGGGCGCCGGGTCGGCGGGCAGGCGCCGGGGCGGCCGCGGGAGGAGCGGGGCAGGCGGTGGGGGCCGTCGGCAGAACGGCAGCGGAGGAGAGGAGGGCCCCAGGGCCGGCGGCAGCGCGAAAGGGATCTTGGGCCGTCTTGGGGCCTTCTTGTGCCATCCTGGGGCCGTCTTGGAGGGCTCTGGGGTCGGCGTAGACGGCGTGAAGAAAAAAGCACGCGCAATGTTGTAACGCGCGTGCGTTTCCCGAGAAGAGTGGGAAGATGTTTAGGTATCGGAGTCCTCTTGGAGGCCCTCTTGGAGCGCTCTTGGGGCGTCTTCGAAACCTCTTGGGCACCGATGGGCCCCTGCAAATGAGCCTGCGCCCAGCCCGACCCACCTAGTGGATTTCGGCCAGCGCGGAGCTCAAGAGTGATTGAAAGACAGCAGGAGGATGGACAGAGACGTGCCAATCCTCCCACCAAAATGGCTGGGCCCTGAGCCGAGCCTGCAGCCGGAGGCAATCCCTTTTCTGCGCCCAGTGGCTGAGCAATTCAGCAAAAGTCGGTGTGCCAGCGTTGGCTTCGAGCCTGCACAGACATACGCAGATCAGTGCAGCAATAATCGGTGCGCCAGCGCTGGCACCAAGCTTGCACACACATGCGCAAGCATGCGTCAAGAACTTTCATGTGTGCATGGCATATGTGCCTAAAGCAACAGCCGACAACGGTACGACATGATGACATGGAATGAACCGCTCGTGCGGTCCCTGCGTTCTTTGGATGGTCTTGAGGGCCTGTAAGGACCTCCCTCGTGGCCTCTGGGGGCCACTGGGGACATTGGGGGGCCAGGAGTCGGGGCGGTAGCAAAACTAACCACTGCCATGCCCCTACCCGACGAATTCCTCCAGTTCTGTCCTCTCTCCTCGTTTTTGTTACCCCCTCCCCCCTTGCTGGGGCACCAGCCACGGGGCACGAACCGCCCATGATGTCGAATCGCAACGGCCAAGGCAAGCGGGACCCGGGACTGGCGCTGCCTCTCCTCGTTTCCTCGTCCTCCTGATCCTCCTGATCCTCCTGATCCTCCTGATCCTCCTGATCCTCCTCCTTTTCCCCCTCCTCCTCCTCCTCCTCCACCTCCTCCACCTCCTCCTCCTCCTTTCCACTCCTCTTCCTCCCGAAAATATGGTAGGAACTTTTTTCCCTGGAGGACATCACAACTTGAGCCAAAAGCCGTCGGGGCGAGCTCCATACCACAAGATGCCAAACTGCTGACAACGCGTATCCTTCCCACCCAGTCGCAACGCTATGATCCAAGACCCCCCCCTCGGCCGACGAGCGCGAAGGGTGAAAAACTCATATAAAGCGAACTGGGTAAGAGGACCCATGGAAGCAAATAAGTCAAGACCAAGATTCCGTCATAGCAAATTAGAAGCTGCAAGACGCATTGTGGCAAACCTAGATGGGTAAAAACACATGGGGCATAATTGGCGCAGGCAAACAAAAAACGTTTTGAGCGTAGACACGCAGGCGCTTCTTCATATGCGATACACAACGTATCACTGCCGCGAAAGAAGAATTAATGCATAATGGTTATCTATCCTGAGGTGTGTGTAGACAGACGAACACGTGGGTCTCATCTGATCCGGAGCCCAAGCTTCCACCAAACCGGCACGCGAAGATGACACGGACACGGATACATATAACACCCCACAGTTGGCACCAGCTCGTGCCGTCCGCTCACAATTTGCTGGTTCGCACCTCGAATGTGAATGGGCACGCCGCCCCTGCTGACGTCCTTGGTAAAACCGTGAGCAAGTTTCTCATGTGTGCCTATTTTGAACACTTTGATGTCTGCTCGTCGCACAATCTCTTGTAACCAAAGTTGACAAACCTCGATGTGTCGATGTGTCTGACTTTTCCTCATCTTTGGCCCGCAATAGCAATGGCCGCACTAGCACCGCTCGCTAACACGATACTGCAACCAACATCGACATTTTGAAGACCGTTTGTAATCTAACGTTGCTGGTGCGCCCTTCACCAGTCAATGATACTCTGTTTCTCCTTATGATAACGACACTACACTCTGAGTCGTACTCCACGATGATAGCAGATGCGGTCCCAACATAACTGTTCCTCCGGTTGTTGGTTTGCGTGTTTTCTTACATCCAGCACAGTCGATGTCGGTCCACACTGTTAACTCGTGAGGGTGCCCCCCCTTGTACAAGTGCGGATTTCCACACATGTCGTGGTTATTGAGGAAGTTGCCCAGCTTCGCGAGGCTGTTCCATGCCCCTCCGGTCGGAGCTGACATGGAGAATGCAAGATCCGTACTGACAACTGTACGCCAGAACGGCCCTTCGCAAGATAATTGGCTCGAGACACTAAACCTTGATACTTTTTACCTTCGTCTTTCGGCGAGGGACTGTTCATTGTCTTCTCTGTAAGGCTGCTTTACACCTGGCATCTCACATATCACTTTGCACTGACCGGCTCCATTCCAAAATTCGGTTGGAAATGTGGATAAACTTCAAATATTTGGTCATGGTCCAAATCTGCCCCGAATTTGAACTTCGAGCTTCTGTTTGATTTTCCATTCGAACCAGTGAGGGCCCGCGCCAATGCCACATGTAATAAAAATCGCCGCGATGAGCTGTTAGCCAGACCGCCAGGTCACGCGTTCAAGCGCACGTGGTGATGCGTTCCCGCCGTCAACGAGAGCGCGCGCACAAAATCCACATGCTTCCTAGTTGCTGGCGGCGCCCCGAGTGCCGTACATTTGCTCTCGCAGCCTCCAGGCATGCCCAGCGCGCGATCTTCTTCGGGCAATATGATGAAGGTATTCTCCGTGGCCATGGCATACATGT